TTTCTGTACAGTATATGCAATATAATATTTAACTCTCCACAAGAAACCAAATGACACAGAAATTAACAACTATAGGTAACCATAAGGCTTTCAACAATGAGTAAAATCCATACTGCAATGTCAACTATACAAGGTCCATTTATGAAAAAGGTTTAACAATTCAAACAAGAAAACTAACGGCCTGATTGATGTACAAAATAATAACAAAAAAAAACAAATATGATATACAGCAACAAACGACAAGTGAATTACGGGCTCCTAACTTGGGAAAGGCACATACATATTAAAGGCATGATAATAGATTTCATCATTATCACAAGCCCTACATTTTTTTACATTGTATTATATGTCTCTGGTAAAAGTAACAGTGGTACTTTTATATTCTGCACACCTTCGTGAACATTCGAGCTCTATAGAAGCAATATGTTTAGTTTATTCTGGTTTTTTTTTTAATCTCAAGCTTCCTGTAAGTGTATTCTGCTTTTGAGTTCTTGTGCTTATTTTAGGTGTTGAGATTTTATTTTAATGTGAAAATTGTGTTTGCGTAAACTACATTGCTGGTCACTGTGTGTATCAATTTTGTTTTTAATATGTCATATTGTCAAATATATTTGTTTAATAACAGCAATGTAAATTAGTGTTCCTTTTGTTTAACGGTGTCTACCAAGAAATTGGTAATGATTAGTTTTTATGCCCGTGTCAAGTTGTGATTAATATTCTTATCTTGTATAACACTTCATAACCATGATGTAGGGCAAACTGTTTTACGTTTTATTCTAACTCTAAATAGTATATAAGATCTCTTATATATCATTTTACTATATTTCATGTGATATGAGATATGAGATATCTGATATATTTTTGAGAAATCTTGTGTTATATGAGATACGTTATATATTATACGAGATATCTAGAAGTTATAAAAAAAATAACTGTTTGCCATAACCATGACTCATAATACTTGCCAGTTTTTGATTAGCAGCTAGTAAAAAGATAGCAACGGTAACAAGGGCTATTTGTCCTGCTGTTTTTGATTATTAAACCTTTGTTTTAAGACTGTTTATTGTATGGGAATCAGTCCTATAAGCTTTAAAAAATTTCTGTGAGGTAGTCTCATTAACCTTTGTGATGTATACAAAACACAACAACTGCATGTATGCTTTTTGTTGGTTGTTAATATGTACAGTGTATAGTAGCTTATGCTATGTTTCGTTCATTGTTTCAACTGTACAAGTTACACTACTCTTTTTTACTTAACATACAAATGCTATCGTTGCTAGATTCGTGTGTCAGTCTTTAGTTTTTTGTGCACTATCTTATGAGTCAACCATTTCAAAGTTGAATTCTAACGCTTGTTCTTGTTCGTGTAAGGATGGAGTGTCATCAATCATGCCTGAGCAAGCAACATTCTGGTAGTGCTGTTCCACTCAGGAGTATGTGATTAGGTAGTTTTCGTTTGTTGCTGTTTATAATGTGTAATTTGGTTTGTACACAGGTCATGTTTGTTTTTTTATTTAAATCATTTCACATGTAATGTTGAGGTGTTAAAACTTGCTATATTTGGGTTTTGATCATCTTGAAATCCATATGTTGATCTTTATTTGCTGGCACCTATGCCAATTGGTCAATGGTGGAGAATTAAAATTGAGAATGGAAATGGGGAATGTGTCAAAGAGACAACAACCCGACCAAAGAGCCACCAATGGGTCTTCAATGCAGCGAGAAAATCCCGCACCCGGAGGCGTGCTTCAGCTGGGCCCTGAACAAAAATGTATACTAGTTCAGTGATAATGGACGTCAGACTTAATCGTCTTTTTTTGCAATCGTAGTACCGGAATGTGTGTAGCAGCTTGTGATAAGTTTATACTTCTGCATCGGCTTTGTTTCACTGGTATCTTGGTTTTGCTATCCATGCATATTTCAATTTTGTTATCAGAATTTTCTCTCAAGTAATATATCTAGGTTTAATTCAGATTTTCAAATCCTAGATAAATGCTTCCTTGGCAAAGGCATATAAGAAGAAAAGTCATGGTGGCATATAGATTTTTTACTTTTTGTCATAATATATATACTGATAAAACATGTTAAACAAATAAATATATTGTTGGATAAGGCGCCAAACAGCAGTCTATTGACTGGTATGGATAAAAAAGCATCCATTGTGGATTATAAAAATACAACATGTACCTGGATATAAATGTTTATTATAATAGCACTAAAAGATGATTCTCAATTTTCTTTTATTTTCAAAAAAAAAAAAAAAATCATACAAAAGAACCAAGAACTCAATTTGGAATAGTATATCACACATTTATCCTTTTATTTAATACAAGCACCAATAGATATTTCATTCTAAAATTGTCTTTTAGGTTTTCATGTCATTCTTACCAAATATAATTTGTGATTTGAACAAAATGAAAGTTTTTTCCCTGTAATATGACACTAGAAATATTTTTTTAGCATAATATGCAGATAACTATAGTTTAATGAATCTAAGTTTCTGTCATGATTTTTCCAGATCATTACAAACATTAATTCTAGACAATGCAAATAAATTTATTGTAACATAAAAAATCATCTTGTCTTCATCACTGTATAGATGTCTCCAAATCTATTTGTGATTTTTTTAACAAATGTTTCTTTGTACCCCCAGAAATATGACACTATGAATAAATCTTTAATTTGCAAAATTTGTCAACATAACAAGAGTTTAATAAATCTGAATTTTTACCATACTTGTTTTTAAATTTTCACAAGTATTAAATTTAGAAAATGTGAATTATTTTATAAAAGCATTAACAATTATCTTGTCTGCATTACTTTATGCTTCAATCCAAGCAAAGAACAGTAAAAAAAAATACATTATTAACAATGTTACAATGTTAAATAATATGTACATAAAATAGAGACTGAAAATGGGGAATGTGTCAAAGAGACAACTACCTGACACCAAAGAGTAAAAAAAACCAGCTGAAGGCCACCAATGGGTCTTCAAATCAGAGGCTCCTGACTTGGAACATACGGAAAAATGTTGCTGGTTAAACATGTTTCATGAGATCTCAACCCTCCCCCTATACCTCTAGCCAATGTAGATTGAACAAACACACAGCAATACAACAAGAGTGCACACGCTGAAATGTCTCGCCTTCTTTACTAACCATTGATTTTATGTTGATAGTCCTAAATATAAAGCTTTACTACAAGTAACACATAATCTTAACATGATCCAAGAAAATGAGGTCAAGGTCAGTTAAACCAAACGAGAAATACATGTACACCTTACAATCATTCAATAAAACAAACAAAGTTGACCTATTGCTTATAGTTTCTAAGAAACAGTCTTAACCAAGAAAACTTAACATTGACCAATGAACCATGAAAATGAGGTCAAGGTCAGATGATTCCTGCCAGACAGATTTATACACCTTACAATCCTTCCATACAACAAATATAGTTGATCTATTGCTTATAATTGAAGAAAAACAGACCAATATACAAAAACTTAACACTGAGAAATGAACCGTGAAAATGAGGTCAAGGTCAAATAAAACCTGTGAGACTGACATGTACATCATAAAATATTTCCATACACCAAATATAGTTGACCTATTGCATATAGTATTAGAAAAAAAGACCAAAACTCAAAAACTTAACTTTGACCACTGAACCATGAAAATGAGGTCAATGTCAGATGACACCTACCAGTTGGACATGTACACCTTACAAATTTAAAAGAAACTTTAATACTGTTTTTTTTTAATGTCAATCATTGGGATGGCCAACTCAGCAACTGAATACCATAATTGCCTTTTGTTTATTTAGTCTTAAGGGATTAAAATCGGGATTATATATAAAATGTCCGGCTGGCTAAAAATAATTTTGGAAGCCCTGCTTACAATCATTCCATATACCAAATATAGTAGACCTACTGCTTATAGTATCTGATATATGGACTTTACCATGAAAACTTAACCTTAAAATTGAGAATGGAAATGGGGAATGTGTCAAAGAGACAACAACCCGACCATAGAGCAGACAACAGCTGAAGGCCACCAATGGGTCTTCAATGCAGCAAGAAACTCCCGCACCCAGAGGTGTCCTTCAGCTGGCCCCTAAACAAATAAGTATACTAGTTCAGTGATAATGGACGTCATACTAAACTCCAAATCATACACAGGAAACTAAAATTAAAAATGATACAAGACTAACAAAGGCCAGAGGCTCCTGACTTGGGACAGGCGCAAAAATGCGAAAATTGTTTACTGATCCATGAAATGAGGTGGAGGTCAAATGAAAATTGTCTGACTTTGACCTTGCAAGGTACGCACATACTAAATATAGTTATCCTATTACTCATAACAAGAAAGAAATTAACATTACAAAAAATGTTGACTTTTTTTCAAGTAGTCACTGAACCATGAAAATGAGGTCAAGGACAATGAACATATGACAGACGGAAACTTCGTAACATAAGGCATATATATACAAAGTATGAAGCATCCAGGTCTTCTAGCTTCTAAAATATAAAGCTTTTAAGAAGTAAGCTAACGCCGCCGCCGCCTGATCACTATCCCTATGTCGAGCTTTCTGCGACAAAAGTTGCAGGCTTGACAAAAAGTAAAACTTAAAAAAGTCTGAGTTTGATGTCAGAATAGATAACAAAAGTAACTCAACAAAATGACAATGATACATAAATTAACTAAAAACTACTAGCAGTTACTGACATGCCAGTTTCAGACCTCAATTTAACTGATTGAAAAATTATGTCTTCATCATCTGAAATCAAGCACAATCCCTCCCATTAGGGGTTTAGTATTATACCATCATAAAATAAATGAGAAGAACATAAACCGTATCATGCCAACAACTGGTTTTATAATAAATGTGTTTATTTTTGATGCTAGGACCCTATAAATGAATCAATATTTATACCTATATATGCCATCTTTAATGACCTGACAACAGAATCGTAACTATATCCCTTCTAAATAAGGTTTGTTAGCTTTTGAGGTAAATGTCCACATTTTTGTGCTTTGTAAAGAATATTACCATAAAAGATTGGATGTGAAATACCTGAACCTATAAGATGTCTGCATGTTGATTTATATTTACGAATGATGTCCTTATACTGATGATAAAATGTAGTGAATGCTTTTACTATTTGTGATATCAAAAACCCTGGCATACATACATGAATGCAATTTTTTTTTATCATTCATCATTTTAATCAAAATACATAAGTTTTCTATTTTCAAAAAAAATAAGAAAATCATTGTTGAGAATATAGTATTCCACTGTGCATAATCAAGAAAAAAATAACACACATCTGTTCAAGGGCAATTATCCCCAAAAAATGTGGTTCATTAGGCAAATTATGAGTTCTTTGCTAAATTTTCCATTTTCTCTGAAAACAGACATATGAAAAATGATACTTATTTGCTGAAACAATTTGTAAGAGAAAAAAGACTTAAGGATGTACACCTCTGAGGAGCCAAAAATTTCTAGAATTAAACTTTTTTTCTAAACCTGATTTTTGGGTTTATATGACTATAAAAAAAAAATTGGGGAACAAAATAGCATATGGTAGTGCACTTCTTTTTTTTGCTACGGCTATTTGAAAGTACCCAATTTTGACGATTTTCCAATTTTTCTTCAATTTTGTCCCATTTTGGGGCTATTATCGTGAACAAAATCACAGTTCCACAATTAAAATTTTTTCATACTTTCAGTAAAGATGAAGGGGACCAATCTGAATGAATTTAACTTGAAAAAAACTATAAGAAAGTTTTATCATATTTTGATGCTTTTTCATGTTAAATTTACCTTGCTTACAATTTTGTCAATTTGTTATTTTTCTCTGTTTTAAGAACAAAATGCATATTATTTCAACTTCTTTGTTATAAATGATTAAAAAATACATATCAAAGAAATTTGAAAAGAAAAAAGTGATATGGGATGTACATGTTTCTGGTTAAATCATTTCTTGTACTCCTCACCCATTTTCTCAAAATTTTGGCTAAAAAGACTGATTTGATAGGTAATAGAATTTGAAAAATGTATAATACTCAAAAACTACTAATTGTAGATACACAATTTTTTCACAGAGTTAACTTTGATTAGATATTTATTAAATTCATTGCTATTTTCCACTTGTTTCACATGTTTTTGAAATAATTCCAGAATGAGATTTTAACGAGACAGAAACCTCAAAAGAATACATCCTTTACGTCAAGTAATAAAAATTCTATTAAAAAATTACCTTACATTTCGCCATATGTGCTACAATTTCTATTTTTGTCATACAATAAAAGTATAGGCTTGAAATGTTTTTAATTTAATTTTTCACAGAATTAAAAAAAATAAATAATTCACTTGAACAGTATTGCATGTAAATCAACAATTTGAAGTTTCTTACAACTGTTATTGTTATTGTCTGAAATTCATCAATTAAATGAATAAAAATTGATAGTCTAAATATCATGTAAATCTTCATCATTGTCATCTTCAAAATCTTCATAATTTAAATTCTCTTCATTGAAGTTTAAAACATTTATATCATCTTCATCATTATCATCATCATCATCATCATCATCATCAACAAAATCTACATTTATAAGAACATTTTCATCAAAGTCAGGTAAATCGAAATCGTTTCCCTCAACCACATCTTTATCTAATCCAACAATAGAAAAGAATATTGTTTGCACACTTTCCTCTACAATATGTTCATCAAACGATTTGATAAATTCCAACAATTTTGCTTCAATGAATAATCCTTCCTTCACTAGGCACGCTTTTCTTCCTTTTGTAGCATTATTCATTGAAGCAATTAGCAGTGAATGTTGATGTTTGTACCATTTTATTGTAGATACCATTTCTTGTTTTACAAGACACTGCTCCTCCTTGGCTCTATCAATCATGGACTTCAGCTGAATAGCCTGTCTTTTCACAGCTGATAAACTATCAGCTCGGTCTGTCACTTCAAGTTTCTGCCAAATTTCATTATCCTGGTTTTTAATATCATCAAAATTTAATTTAAGTGGAAAAGAAGTGGATGGCTCTCCAACCAAATTGTACTCTGCCAAGGCCTGCTTGATCTTGGCCACTACCTTCTGTACTTGCTTTGACAAGCGAATTGCAATAGCTTGTCCTCCTGGAAAGAGAAAATGATTTTTTATATTGCATCTAAAACAAGAATGTGTCCACAGTACACGGATGCCCCAATCGCACTATCATTTTTCATGTTCAGTGGACCATAAAATTGGGGTCAAAACTTTAATTAGGCCTTTAAATTAGAAAGATCATATCATAGGGAACATGTGTACTAAGTTTCAAGTTGATTGGACTTCAACTTCATCAAAAACTACCTTGACCAAAAAACTTAACCTGAACTTTGCACTATCATTTTCTATGTTCAGTTGACCGTGAAATTGGGGTCAAAACTTTAATTTGGCATTAAAATTAGAAAGATCATATCATGAGAAACATGTGTACTAAGTTTCAAGTTGATTGGACTTCAACTTCATCAAAAACTACCTTGACCAAAAAGTTTAACCTGAAGCGGGACAGACGGACGGACGGACGAACGGAAGGACAAACGAAAGAACGAACGGACGGACGCACAGACCAGAAAACATAATGCCCCTCTACTATGGTAGGTGGGGCATAAAAAAGATGTGGTATGTCTGATTCTCAATGAGACAACTATCAAAATGCCAACCAAGACTGGAGGCTACACACTAATATCTAGAAATCAGTATAGATTCATTTCAATTTTTCAAAGTATATAAATCATATACCATTTGATTCCTTATTCATTTTTTCTACACAAATGTATTTGTCATTTACATAAAATAAGTCAACTATTAAATGTAATTGAATGAAAAAATGCAATTACATAAAAAAAATTTCAGAGTAATTTCTGAAAATTAATGGTTGATTAAAATCCTGCTTCTTTTAGTCCTAAGAACATGGATAAAATATATTTATAATCATAAAAAAAACTGAAGAGGGAATGGAATGCTGCTATATGATTTAAACACTTTCAAATAAGTCTCAACTTTCCTATATTCAATGCTTATCAAATCAAAGCAACCTTGTCATCCCTTGTACACTGTAAGTTTGCTATGGCTGCACATTTGCTTTAGAAACTCCAAATGATTTTGTTGAAAAATTGCAAAAATTAGGTAAAACTTGAATCAACTTTCAAACATATCTGCCTTACAAAATAAAAATAAATGTCTTTACATACTGGCATATTTCTTTATCAGATCTAACAGGAAGTGCCTCTCACTGGTAGACCTCTGCAGTTTTGTTAGTATAAAAAGTCTGTTTTTTTCTTTTGCGCTTGACAGATGACTTGTGAACAATATGTCGGTCTTTGTATATTTAACTTTCAGTCTGCTTTCAATTCTTTCAATGGTCTTATTCAATCTGAAATATAAAAAGAATGAGCAATAAAATAATCTGTTACCAATAAATAATACCCATAAGTTTTCATTACTGTAATGACTTACTGTATGACTGTTTTAGTAGTGAACTAAAACTAATAACAAATAATTATTTAACCTTGAATGTCTAAGTCAAGGTCATATTTTATGATACCCTCCACATCCTCTTGAGTTTTTAAAAGTCTATGTCAAAAGGATAAAAAAAAAATGCTAGAATATGTAGAGAACGAATTCACAGATGGAAAAAACAAAATGCTGTCTATCATTAGCTGGGATCAAAATAAAATATGGTGTGTGATTGCCAATGAGATGAAAGTGCTTCCACATTCTCAGAAAAGTGTTCAATTTATAAACCTTTATTTCAAGTAAGAAACTATTTGATAACAAGTGAGTTCATTATTTTTTACAAAGAAGTCTGATTAATATGCTTTTAAACATGTCTTTAACATTGCTCCATATTGTCAATTTATATAAGAAGATGTAGTATGCTATCAGCAAGCTATAAAGGGGTAAAAATAAGTGTTAAGGGGGCTCGAGGGTATAAATCCAATTTTTTTTTAATTGTAGGATTTTCCTATTTTTTTCTATAAATGAACTTTATCATATTATTAATAGAAAAATAAAATAAAAAAATGGGGTCACCGTTCATTTAAGCTCACCATTTGCCTTCGAAAGAAGCATGCATTTTTGTTAAGGTACTTTTTTTTCGGTTGAACTAATAGGATAAATAGAGATAATATAGAAATAAAAAAAGAACTAAATTACAGATATCGCTTAAATTTACAATGGTTTAGTTTACGTACAGCTTATTTGAAAATAATAATAAATAATACAGGTCACAAATGAGTTAAAAAAGATATTCAAATTATAATGCCATAAACATTTTTGCACCAAAGGTAGATAATTTGAGCTTTTTTTAATGATATAAACATTTGAAAAGTCATCTGGGGCCAAAACGAATTGATATTTTTCTATGATTTCTGTACCATATCATAAAGTAACAATTAATAGTGTAATAAATAAAATGTGTAATGAAAAAAAAATGTTTAAATTTTTGCTGAAATTATGTTCCCGCGACCCTACTTTATACAAAAAAAATTGGTTACAGTTCATAGTAATGCTCTCTAATTCCTGATCTAATTTCCCATTGATGAAATTAATTAACAGGCATGCTATATAAAATTTGCCTTTTGTATGTTATATCTTCTTGAAGCTGTCCAGGAGGCAGTGTCTCTCTGAAATAAAAAAAAATATATCATATAACCATGATAACCAGAATATAAAAATATTTGAATATTTAAATAGAATTCTTTGTAAAACTTTTAAACCTTTCATTTCTTATAAACAACATTTTCCAATGAGAGAGAATCCATCACAAATTAGGTGTTTGAAAAACATTTCAAAACTTCTTTTTTTTTTCCTGGATGCCTGAAAATAACACAATTGTTGATCTTTATTGGCAAATTGGTATTCTATTGATGCAATTTCAAGTTGAAAATGACACATGTTTCCAAGAGTACTATAAGAGGCACTTAACACTAACAAACAATAAAAATCCTCTCAATTGCCAGATTTCATAATCTTGAAATATAACTGATAAAATGAAACCAAAAAGGTTGCAGTAGTATATTGGGCAAATAAGTTGAAAGGGGCGTAACTCCTAGAAAAAAAATTGAATCGTAATTTCCTGTCGATATGCACATCTACTTAGTATGTCCTTATTATCTACAAAGTTTCATGAAATTTTGTTGTGTGGTTTCAGAGGAGTTGAGATGACAAACTGTTGCAGTAGTACATTAAAGTAAATAAGTTCAAAGGGGCGTAACTCCTAGAAAAAAAAGTTGAGTCGTAATTTCCTGTCGATATGCACAACTACATAGTATGTCCTTATTATCTAAAAAGGTTTTGTGAAATTCTGTTGTGTGGTTTGAGAGGAGTTGCGATGACAAGAAACAGGACTGACGGACGGACGGGTCAAAAACATTATACCCTCCACAACTCGTTGCGTGGGGTATAATAATCCATTATAAGGGGACGAAGAAATTTAGACCAGATACATAATTAATCCAATACGGAAATATATATATATTGTCACTAAATACTTAGCTTTATAGAGAAGATATATATTTCTAAACGTCTTCCGTAATGAAGGATCTAGTGCTCTGGCAGGTCCATGGCGTTTTTAGTCTGGCAAGCCGCAATCCTGGTAAATGTTTTTTTTCTACACCCAAACAAATTTCAAGAAATAAATTTGCTTATACTTTTATGTAGCTGCGAATACGTATCTCTTTTAAGGTCCTTTTGATGATTTTGATATTTGCGGACCATAGAAAAAAATCAAAGGACAATAAAGCTACGTTTGCGCAGCTAATTTTTATGAAACATTTAAAAAAAAATATGACAATCTTGCAATAGGTGCAAATTATCTGCCTGTTTATTTTTGGTATAGTGTATTTCAAAAGAGAGAGAAAAAAAGAACAGCTGTTTGTGGGCATCTTTGTTTTTGTTTTTTATTTGAATATCTTTTCTACCTCACACGTAGAGAGCTAAAATAAAATATAAAACGGAATCAAAATCGGAATCCTTCCGGAGTAATTTTAGCGATTCCGTTTTTTAAATAAAATCTCTGATACGCGTACGTATTAACGTTGGCGTTTATGTTGTTTATCATATGCATTTTCTCATTTTTGCAAGCATATCATACACCGTTCAATCTTATGTTCAAGTTTATTTCTTTAATGAAATTGAAGGATACGGCGTTACAAACAGCACTGTATAAAACCGACGGTACAGTACATCGGAAAAAGTAGCGTCGTTTAACATTGTCTAAAATGATTTCATTACCTTCAATATCATCACTATGATCAATCTCAATGTCATGTGGATATTTCTGTTCTTCTTTCAATGGCAATGCTGTCTGTGCCCGACTTGTTGATGGTACTACAAGTGGTGACAATATTTCTACTGAGTGCTTGTCAGTTTTAATGCGAAAAGGATCCGACAGCAAAGCCCTTCGTTTACCCCTACTCGTGTACTGTGTTACTGATTTGGAAATTTTTCTTTTCTTTATGAATACCATGTTGGTGCAATTCAACACGCCATTTTCTTTGAATTAAAACAACACTTGTCATGATTTTTGCTGTCCCCGAATTGAACATATTTTGTTATAACTACCAGCACTTAACATCTATACTGTACAGTATAAAAGTATACTGTTGTTAGTGTTACTAGCAGACTAATTTTACTAATAGATTCCCACTAATAGTGGCTAATATTGCAGGATCGGGTGAACTGATGCACTGTTCACACTATCATTTTCCATGTTCAGTAATATAAATATGAATTACTCAGAAACGTAAAATCTAAAATTTATAAAAATCAAAAGGGAGCTCATGTTGATAGATATAAACAATTCACCACAATTTCTTGCAAGTTGGTGAAAGCATTCTTGAGTTATTGTCTGAAAATAGGAAAATCCCCCTTTTTTTAATGAATAAAACCCCATAACTCGGAAACATAAAATCTAAAATTTATAAAAAAAAAAAGGGAGCTCACGTCAATAGATGTAAACAATTCACCAAAGTTTTATGCAAATTGGTTAAAGCGTTTTTGAATTAATGTCTAACATGTTGACTACGGACAGACAACGGTATACCATAATACGTCCCGTAAACAAATCCATGGCAGTATTATAAGTTTGTTGATTGTGGCCATTATATGGTAGAAGCAGAAACTGAAAACTTCTGTATTATTAATCCTTGTCTACATTCATTTAACATACCTTTCACATCAATGATAACAATATTCTTGAAATAATTTGTGTCACAATCACTATGTGACGACAAGATCCATGACGGTGTTTTCAAGAGGGCCCCAACAAATGCTTCATTCTGAAATCATAAAAAATTAAGCTTAATACAAATATATCATGTTCAGTGAAATTTAGTCAAAACCCTAATATGGCATACATGTACAATTTAAAAAGATAAAATCATAAGGAACATGTGAACTAAGTTTCAAGTTGATGTGTTTTCATTTTCATTGAACAATTAATTTAACCTGAAAAGTATAGTAGGTTGGGCATAAAATTTTGTTTTCAATATAAGATATCACATTGACAATAACATAACAATAAACATACTCATTTCAAGACAAAACTATAAGTTATTGTTCTATTGGAAATAAAATGTGCACATCTTGGGTACTATCAGATGTTATAGAACAATATGTTCCACACTTCATCATGTTCATTGAAATTTAACAAGTAATTTCATAATGGGACATAAAACGTGCGCACATTTTATGTCTAATCAGAACTTATAGAACAATTAATATGTTCCACACTTCATTGAATTTTAACAAGTAATTTCATAAGTTTTTCTAACAATAAGAATTGCCGTTTGCTTACCCTCCATGCTTCAAACATGTGCAGATGAGGATACTGGTGTCTCCTACCTAAACAGTCTTCACATACCATTTCCCATGGTGTGCAATCAATGCATTTGAAGAGCTGGGACTTTTTTTGACATTCATGGCAGGTATCAGTTGATGGAGCCTCTGAACTGATAAAAGCCTCATTCATTTCATCTCTAATGTCACTCCAATCCTGTAAGCGTTGATCCTTTAATGAAACATATGTACGCTTTCCTGTAGAAAAAATCAGTTTAAGAGGTGTTATCATGGTATTGCACATGAATACTTTACATAATCAAGTAAATTAGGATTCAAATTATGTTTATCAGTTTATCAAACTGTAAAAATACCTGTACAAATGTAGGAAAGAAACACCATTGAACAGACCAAACCCATTCAATTTTTTTTAAACTGTGTCAAAAAGTACTTTTATTCATGGGTATCTATTTTCATGGTTAGAGCAAAAGTTACAAATGAACATGTTCCTGGGTTGGTAAATTCATGGATTTTTAGTTTTCTGAAGACGAAAAGAACATGTGAAAGTCGACTTGTTCGGTGGTATATTTTTGTTGTTTATTAATGTGGTTCACAAGTGTTTCTTTTTTTGTTTATATAGATTAAACCGGTAGTTTTCCTAGTTTAGACTAGTCATTAGTTTTTGGGCCCTTTAATAAACTTATAGCTTGCCGTGTGAGCCAGGACTCTGTGTAAACATGGTAAAAGGCGATACTTTGACCTATAATCATGATAATTGTTTACTTTTTACATATTGTGACTTGGATGGAGAGTTGTCTCTGTTGCTGCTGCATCTGCCAGATAATAGCCACATTCAACGATTTGAAGAACTGGTTACACTGTCATGCATTTGGAGGGCATACTGCCCCCCCCCCCCAAAAATATAATTGTTAAATGGGAAATTTCACATGAATCAAGACAAATGTGGTTCTGATAAAAAAATAAATCCCAGGGATAGCTTTGAAACTAGGCCTAAATGATTAAGATAAAGGGACAGGAAAGGCATTATAATGGGCAAAAGTCTAAGGGCGAATTCAGCCATTTTAAAAAAAAGGGGGCGGTCATACATTTTAAAATCAACATACAAAGGGTGTTCCAAACCTATGTCTCAATACAAAAGTATGAGTTGTCAAACAAAATAGGGTGTTCGAAACCGCAAGACCTTTCAACCGAATACCCTTGAATCCGCCATTATAATGAAAACAGTTTTAAATAAACCAAATTATGATTACCCTTTTGACTTTTTACTTACCGGATTCAGCATCAGGTTTGATTTCATTCTTAGTTTCTTCCATTGCCGAAGAGCAAGGCAGGGTTAGAGAGGAATCAAAAGTGGAAGTTTTACCAAACGGCAATGACTTTGCATAATGCTGAAGGTCAGAAACTTCTCCATCATCAGCTTTCACACCACGAAATTGGCGAGAAAAGACAACCTTTCTAGAACGTTTCCCAGCCGAATGCAATCTATCAGACACAAACACTTTTCTTTTACGAATCAAAACCATAGCGAAAATAGAAGTTAAAAGTTGGTGACTAAAATAGAAGTATGGCGGCTGTAACGAATTAGGTCGAACGTTGAAACACGTGTAAGAGTAAGTTTTGAGACGGCTACGTGAGAGTTTTGCATCTCCGGAACTGGTCTCTGTCTTTTGTTAGCGCTACCAGTGGTAACATCTGTACTGTACAGTATCAAAGTCGGCCGTTGTTAGTGCTACTAGCAGACTAACATCACTAATAGAATCCTTATAGTAGCAGCTTATATAATAGGATCGGGTGGATTATGATGTAAAATTAATCATATCAATCTATTCTGATTTAAGGGCATACGATACAGTTACAGGGGAGGTAATGACGTTGCTAACGTAAAATGTTATTTGGCGACGTCAAACTGTGACATATCGGGAAAAGATGTATTTGTCGACTGATTTTTATCATTCAAACTGATTTAACTTGAAAACGAGTTCATGGACCCCTCTTTTTTAAAATGACATTCGGTTTGATTACGTATGAAGATTATTTGTACCAATTTTCATGAAAAAGTCAATAATGCAATTTTTTTAAATTTGAAAAATATACAGCAAAACATTACGTTTTTTTTTTCTACATTCACGAACAATTGATAAATTTGAGTTATTTCTAAACAAAAGATTTCATAAATTTAAAGGATACTTATATGAAACAGAAATTAGAAATAATTTAACAAAAAACAGCTTGTGTTTATCTTTTAAAACAAAAAAGTTATGCATTTCTGTCGGAAGGAAAAATACGTCCACAAATCCGAATTTTGAGCAAATATCTGAAATTTCGAACTCATTTTACTCAAAAAGTAGCATATGACGGTATATTTTTTATTACATATTTGATTTAATCAGGTAAAAAATAGCCTATTTGCAAATTTTCATCAAATTTTCACTATGGGATCAAAACTGTATCGTATGCCCTTAAAGGGGCACTAGCTGTCAAATTCATGTTCACCGATTTGACTCAAATTCTCATAATTGATTTATAACCATGTAAAACATTTATCCAAATTATAAAAAGTCTAAAATGAACTATTTACAGGGCATGGGCTCGATAAAATGTAGCTTCGTTTCGTGTGTATTTTAGGCTTGACGCCATCTAATTAACTATCGAGTTGACCTCCGAATACCTCCGATGGTCATATAAGCGATATACACATTAATATAGATATAAATAGAAAGTGAACTAGTGTAGTTGGATTTTTCTAAGTCTGTTTAATTTCATATTATAGATTAAAAATATATGTTAATCATCGTTTTTACTTGTATAAGAATGATTTTTTGTGGATCGAATCAGTAATTTAAATGATTTACCTTTGTTTCCCTTTCAATGTTGACATTCTTTTTCTTTAAATAACTTAACACGCACTATGCATGCGTTATCCATCTCTAGCTAAGGGGTTAAATTAATTTCACATGAATACGGATTCAATGAGGTCGAATTATTCACTTGCAAGTGAATAATTCATCATCAATGTTTCTAAGCTTATTTTGACAAAATTGAACCATACTGGCTGCTAAAAGCGAATTATTATTTCACTATTTCCCTTTCATTAATGATTGAGCAAATAAAAATCATACTTTAGATTTTTTATATATTTTGTAGCTAGTGCCCCTTTAACTATACTAATCTTTAAATCTATACAATTAAAACCGAACACAAAAACGCTTGTACAATTCTAAAATTTCAAAAATGACGTAGGTTAGGTGTTTACAACAGACTGCATAGATATGCTTCTTACAAAAATAGTAATGTGCGATATGAACTGGTACATTTCTAAAATTTCACAGGTGACGAAAGTTAAGATATTACAACAAAGACTTCGTAGAAATACTTTCCCAATGAGCAGCACTGACCAATTTGAGTTGGTATAATTTTTCAAATTTGACGACGGTAAAGTAATCACAACAGAGGCTGCGTATTTACACATCCCAAATTAATAGCAGTTTGATAATGATTAAAAAATTTGATTTTGACAACGGTTAAGTAATTGAACGTGGCGGCGTACATCCAAAATGTATAGTAACCTGAGATTTAAACTGGTATAATTCTAGAATTTTAGAGTTGACAAAAAAATTCTAAAATTCTAGAATTATACAGCGTATTAATTCGTGATAATTTGTATGATGTTCAAGATCATTATTTCAGTTCGACTACCACATGTCAAGATAAGAATTATTTGACATCTTACTGATGAAGGATATTAGTTATCCGAAATATTTAATATTTGTTCACGATTTTACTATTTTTTGGTGATGTTGTACCCTTTTAGACTTGCTTATTATATTTTGTAGTGTACTGTATCATAAATATGATCCATCGCCTCGTAAGATTTATCGTAGGCTATTATTCAGACAATTAATATGTATATATATATATATTATATCGTTGGCTATTATTCAGACATTTAATATATATATATATATATATATATATATATTATAAGTGCCTATAAATAGCAGCACATGACATACAAATCTATGGGAGTGTGGATTAATCAGTACAGAGATTAATTCAATTACACAAATAAAATTATAGATTGCCTAACAATGTAATTTTAACACACTATTTAGTATGTAAATATAAGAATGTTTAAAATATTCACAAAATGATGAAAATAAACGCAATATTTCTCTAGACTAACTAGCTTTATCAAGCGTGCATCTATCCAGGTGAAATCGGATGTAGATGATAAGAAACTTTTGCAGCTCTATGTATATGTTGCACTTGAATTTAGCTGCCTTGAAAATAATACATAATTTGGATGAAGTTCAAGATTTTTACAAAATTGGTAGTTGAAGTTAGCAACGTCCATTGGCCAATATTACAGGATAAAAAGGACGATGCTGTGTACTAAATTATTCTTTATCTTTCCTGTATCTTTTCTCATCTTTTTCATTAAGACCATCAGGTTCTAAAGTGTGGAGTTGGTGGATCCAAAAATTTTCTCTTCTCCTTCTCGCCGTGGTGTCCCACTCGGTGTTGACTTCTATGATTTGGAAAGTAACATTATCAAAAGAATGTTTCGTTGAACGAAGATGTCTTGTGAGAGGACAGTTTTTGTTGGTTTTGTACCATGAACGATGGTTATTGAGCCGAATATTAAATTTGTCCATTGTTTCTCCCACATACTGAATGCCACAAGTGTCACATGTTAATATATAAATTGAGTTCTCCGTTTTACAGTTGGAATTTGGGTAGATGGTATAATTTTGTTTAGTAACGGAGCTGATGAAAGAACTGCTTGTATTGGCAGCTTTACAACACAAGCAGTTCCTTCGACCACATTGTTTGTAGCAACCGGGAGATGGAGTAGGCTGCTTTGCTAATACAGATGTCACTAATTTGTCACGGATGTTTTAGGTCTTCTGAAGGCCATGACTGGTGGTGAGGAAAATACTTTTTTAAGATTTGAATCATTTTCTATAATTTTCCTATGCTTCTGAACAATGGAAGACACATTTTTAAAATCAGGATGGTAAGTGAGTACAAGGGGTGTTCTATATGATATATATATCGTTGGCTATTATTCAGACATTTAATATATATAAATTCAGGAGTCTATCCTAAATTGAGGTAAATTATATGGCTTTCCAAATACCGTTTCGATTCCTAACATCACTGAAGAGACATTAATTGTCGAAATCCGGATATGGTGTACAAAAACCTTT